TGTAACAAGGACACGTTAAAATAAAGTGAAACCAATTTTTTTTTGGACCTCATAATTTTTAAACAAAATGTTATAGATGGATGTTCCAGTGAAAACTTTTAGTGACTTCTTTCTGGTGACATATGTTGGACCTTTCCAATCAAACCCTGCCCCTGCAAACTCACGCTGATCTGCCATTTTTGAGCGCAACGCCCACATCTCAAAATCCAATCAACAACCGACGCATAGAACAAAGTCCCCGCCCTGCATTGTTTTCATTTACGGCGAGCCTTTATACTCAGATCTTCATCAAAATACAGAAGAAAAGATTAGTAGCTACTAAAAAAACATGCCTGGCCAGTCTAGATGCCACCATTCTAAACTATGATTGGCCTTATGTGAAGTAGACCGACAAAAAAAACCTGCTTGGTCACAATATATTGGAAAGGGGAGCATTGTCAAGAAATTACCGTTCTGGACATTCATTTGCATTCACGCAGATGTGTAAATCCTACTAAGAAAGAATTTACAATTGTCAATCAGGTTTGTGTTATAATGGCAATCCAGTGCTAGAATGCAGACAAACATGGTCCTCCTCATATACATTCACTACAATTATGGTATTTTACAGTAAAACAAAACAAAAAACAGAAAGTGAAAACAGACCAATATGTTCAGACTGACTGTGTCTCGCTGATCTTGGTATCTACTATTAATCAATCCTTTGCTTTACAAAATCCCAGGATCGAGAGCAGCAGATGTAGAGACGCTGTAGTGCCATCACAGGTGTAAAAAATACATTATAAATAAAAATTAAAAATGTCTGCACACTTTACTGACACAGTTGTTCAACCAGCTCTCACAGATTCATTCAGAACACAGCAGGCTAGTTTGTGTTCAGTTCCCCCTCAGTTTTCTTTCTCTACCCTAATACCAGCTACTGTGCACAGGCAACTGGTATATCCCTTCCGAAAATAAGACATATTGACTCTGCCGCTGCCTACAAGATGACAGGGTTTAGTTTAGCCTGATCCGGTTAAGCTGATAAAACAATTGAACAGAACAGAAACAGAAACCAAAAACATTACCATTCGCTCAGAAGCTGAGCCGTTTCCTTTTGTTAGAGGATTGAAGGTGTAAAACTATTGTGCTTTGAGAAGACAACATAGTTATGCTAAGAAAAGAAAACAGGGCAGTTCACAGTGAAACCAAAATCACCAGAGCAGAATACTATTATGCTTTAAATTGCAAATGGGGGCTGGATGTGCTGAGTGAGAGTATGGTGGGGGAGATGAGGAATTTCTTCTCCTGTAATGCTTAATTACCTCTCTCCTGTACTTGAGGTAATCTTTAATCAGATGAGCACCATGGACTCCAAGCGGGTGCGGGAGTACCCTGCAACCACCTCTGATAAAATTCACACGCAGGTTTGTTTTTCCATCATAGTGGAGAATTTCTATAGACTTTGACTGTTTTTGTACTGAGCTAATGACATTTCTGATTCCCTATCCACTACCTCTAAACCCAACTTTTATACCATTTTCAAGAAAAAAATTCAGTTTAATGTGTCTAAATGTCATGTGGAATAAGCATCAAGTAAAAAGTAATACAACTTTTTCCCTTACATCATAAATATATGGGAATGTACACAAAATGTTTTTACATTTATTTTTCAATACAAAGTATTGTATTTAAAGTCTCTTAAAGGGTTAGTTCACCCAAAAATTTTAATTCTGTCATTAATTACTCACCCTCATGTCGTTTCAAACCCATAAGACCTTCGTTCATCTCCAAAACACACATTAAGATATGTTTGATGGAATCTGAGAGCTGTCTGACCCTGCATAGGCAGCAATACAACTTAATGTTCCCAAGTCCAGAAACGTAGCAAGGAGATCTGTAAAATAATCCATGTGACATCAGGGGTTCAACTGTAATTTTACAAAGCTACGAGAATACTTTTTGTGCGCAAAAGGGAAAAAAAAACTACTTTATTCAACTATTCGTCTCCTCTGCATCACCCTGTAGCACCATTTTGGAGAGTATTAGCTGGACGTAAACAGCGTAGGGGAGAGCGGGGCACAAAGTAACACTTTTTGACTTTCTCAGTTTGTGTAAATCCACATGGGGTTCAGAATATAAATTTTTTTAACCACAGTAATTTTACACTTGTCTAGTACAAATATGTCGCTTTGTTTCATAATTACAGTGTATACGTTTTTCTTTATTTACCCTCAAAAAATGGAAGTGAAATGTGACAACATGCCCCGTAGGTGGGGTACATTGTAACAGCTGAGGGGCACGTTGTAACATGACCATATGACAGCTTAAAATGTTATCTGATCGAATGAAAAATATATACAAGGCAAACTAAAATATTTTGTTAATAAAATAAAATAATGGCGTTTTTTATGAATTTTAAGAATCTGAATCAATGATATGGTAACTAATAAATACTGTAAATTTTGTTATGCTAGCATGTGTGGAAATATTCAAACCACGTGTGTTACAACTAACCCCGTGTTACTTTGTGCCCCACGCTCCCCTATGATGTTCTGTGTCAGCTGCGTCACACGGATACGCTGTTTTCGTTCAGATCAAATCCCAACAACATAGGAAACAGATACGGCGTGACACAGCTGACACAGAACAGCATACGTTGTTTACGTCCAGCTGATACTCTCCAAAATGGCGCTACAAGGTGATACAGACGAATTGTTGAATAAAGTCTTTTTTTTTTCTTTTGCGCACAAAAATTAAATTCAATTAAATTCAAGTTTATTTGTACAGCGCTTTTCACGATACAAATCATTGCAAAGCAACTTTACAGCAAATTAAGTTTCTACAATATTTAGTGGTAGCTTATCACAAAAAGTATTCTCGTAGCTTCGTAAAATTACGGTTGAACCCCTGATGTCACATGGATTATTTTACCAATCTCCTTGCTACGTCTCTGGACTTGGGAACATTTCAGTTGTATTGCTGTCTACCCTTTAAAGTATGTTTTTAAGGAGTCACACCACATGACACTTTACAAATGAGCCATGTCTTGTCAGTTGAAGATCAAATTATCTGATACTTTGACAGACTTTGACACAATCATATCCTCTGTATTATTTCCAGGTTTTTTTTTTCATGCATGTTTGTACGTCAGTTGCACCACATGACTTTGATTTTGCAGACAAATCTATTTCAAATAATAAGCAGCTAAGCAGTTTCTTGACAAAAAAAATATAATAAATCATTATGCCAAATTACTTTCCAAGAAGGCTTTTCTCTTCATTACAATTTCATGGAAGTTGTACCACACTGACATTTATGACTTTATGTCATTTCATTCTAACTTTTGCATTTTTAGACAACATTTACTGTAGTATCAACTGTTTGGGGCCGGTAAGATTTTTTAAATGTTTTTGAAAGAAGTATCTTGTGCTCACATGACTGCATTTATTTGATCAAAAATACAGTAAAAACACTAATACTGTGAAATATTATTACAATTTAAAATAACCGCTTTCTACTTTGAAGGGGTCTTCGGATGCGACATGCACTTTTACAAGTTTTGTTTGAACTGAAATGTGTGTAGTGTGTGTACACAACCACCCTATAATGATAAAAATCCACCCAGTGTTTTTTTTATCTCATTAAATAATTTCCCCTTTCTCAAATCGAGCCGATCTCAGATGCCTGTCTGTGTGACGTCACACAGACCCAGGCCCTCCCACGATTGTTGATTGACACTAGCGTTTTACCTTAGACCCGCCCTGAGTGAGCTGTCATCAGTCAACCATTGTTTCGACGCTGGATCAGATGCAGACAAGAATGACTCCTAAGCGATTGAGGTGTTCTGTTGTTGGATGTAATAATGGACATAGCAGTCGTCATTTACTCCCGACATTTGAGCCGCTGAAGACGCAGTAGATTAGCTTTGTTTTTTAAGGGAATGCACCCCCTGATCTACCTAAATACGTTTATCTTCGCGCGAATCATTCATGATCCAGCCTCACCTACAGAAGAAGTGAGTATAAGGTTATTTTATGAATCTTTGCAAATCGCCTTTCCTAATAACGTTTAACGTAATAAGTTCCGCAGCTAAAGTAAACAGTATCATGAGAACGGCTCGTCACCCCATGGAAGAGAGGGGCGGGGTCAGCAGAGCTCATTATCATTTAAAGGAACATGGACTAAAACGGCTTGCTGAAAACAGAGCTGATTTTGATAGGGTAAAAAGGGTGTTGTTTTCCACTACCATTGAGAAATTTTAACCAAATACTTTTCATTAAGACCCTAAAGAATCATATCAACTTGTGGAAATGGGCATCCGATGACCCCTTTAAAATATTTTACGATGTAATTTATTCCTGTGATTTTTAAGCTGAATTTTCAACAGCCATTAATCCAGTCCTTAGTGTCACACGATCCATCAGAAACGTAAAAAGAAACATTTCTTATTAATATTAATGATGAAAACAGTTGGGCTGCTTAATATTTTTGTGGAAACATTTTTTTCAAGACTCTATGATGAACAAAGTTCAAAAGAACAGCATTATTTGAAATAGAAATCGTTTCTAACAATATAAGTCTTCACTGTCAATTTTGATCAATTTAATTGATCCTTGCTGAATAAAAGTATTAATTTGAAAAAAGTATTGACTTGTACAGTATTGTAAACCTCTCACACGCACACAGACGTTCTGTCTGGCAGAAAGGACTCTACAGACTACAGGTCAGTGCATTTTGTATTGTAAACAGAGTTTGTTTAATCTGGGCCAAAGTGAAGTTATACTGATACTGTATATAAAGAGAGCAGGACAAAAAGCAGAGAGAGAAAGTGAAACTAGGACTGTGAGTACAAGAGATGAAGAAGATGGTGAGCTGGCATTGTGCGGGAAATCAGCAGAGGAAAGTAAAGTCAGGTGGAGGAGGGAAGGGGTGGACTGAGTGAGAGAGGAGAGAAAGAATAAAGATAAGCACACAAGAAAAGAATGCACACAGAACGGAGATGAGGGGAGGGAAGAGGGAGGGGCAAAGAACATGGCAAGGTTACACATGAAAACTGCAGTCTGTTTTCTTCTTTCACACTCACAGAAAGAGAGAAGTAGAGAAAGGAAGCTTCAGTTTTGCTCTTACCTCTGTAATATCACACTAAGCCATAAACTAAAAACAGAACGGAAGAACTGAATGCCAAGGAAGCGAGTACATTCATGATACAGAGAGCCAGGAAAGAAGGAAAAGACAGAGAGACTATTAGAACAATAAAATAAACAAGGCGGCTACACATTGGCAGAGTTTACAGGACCAACTCTGACATCAGTGAAGTGAGAGAGGAAAACGGGTGCAACATTGCTTTACGGAAACCGCTTGTCAGTTTCATGCTGACACAGTTTGAAAATAGGAAACAGACGCTTAAGAGAAACAGAAAGGGAAAGAAAGACAAAAGGATAAAACAAAGCCCATTTAAGCCAAACCATGTTGATGAAAGAATACCGGATATGCATGCCGCTCACTGTTGATGAGGTAAGTTTGTAACTTTTTACATGTGTTTGGGTTTGCGTCCATATGTTCGGGTGTACAGCAGCTGTCCTCATGATTAGCGTGTATAAAAGTAAAGGTTAATAGGATTTCTATTCCACTCTGTTTACGTAGATGAAACCTTGTCGTTCTGTGTACATGTCTGTGGGTTGTATTACATAATCTCTCCATTTCAGCCGTTTTCTTTACCTAAACGGGTCTGACCAGTTACATCCTTTTATTCTGAAGGCAGGAGTGAGTTATTCACCTCAAGGCTAGGAACAAAACACAAAGGCTTTTTGCCACAAACGCTAGGGATTTCTACAGGAGGGTCAGGGATTGTTTAGTCTGTCTCTGTTTCACGTTCGAGTAGCCAACTTGTGCTCGTTCAGATCAGACAAGTCCACACAAGCACACCTGACCTAAAAGTCTGCCTCAGAATTCGTCTATGGTCTACATCAGCACTAGACCGCATAGTTTCCAGACAGGAGCACCGCCCCCTTTTTCTGGAGAAGCTCTGTTGTGCGTACGGGCAGCATTTTTCTCCAAGCCTTCACAGGGTCTCTGTCGTCATCATCGGTGACAATGATTGTTGGAGTGAGTTTTCACATTCACAGATTTCAAAAGAATTAGTCCTCAGAAAAACAGCAGGAACCCTGTCAGTGCTGCCAACGCAGCTTTTCAGGAGAATATGTGTGCGGAAAAATGTATGTATCCAGAACACTTTAGTCTTTAGAGAACAAAACAAAAACAAAACATATGGCAGATGAGAGATCAAACACTCTGATAAACAATGATGTTTAGTGAACTCATGACGTTCATGATTTTGTTAATAATTCTTTTAAATATGTAAATATTTAATTTAAATAGGTAAATCAAATTTATTTTAAAATACATACCATGTAAAATATAAATATTAATATATTACCTTACATATAATATTAACATATTCCAAACATATGTATTTATTAAAATATATATTATATTAAATATAATTAAATACATTTTAATTTCATGGATCATGGAAGAAGACATTCTCAAAAGCTTTAAACTCATGACATTTTTATATTACTGATATTACTTTTTATTTTTGAAAACAATTGCCCATAAACATTTTTGCGTTATCATGTTAGCACATATCACAACATATTTCCAAAATTTTTATATTACATTAATAATCAAAGTATGATAGCAAAACAGCACCTACAGAAATGTAATACAATTTAATTTAAGCATTTATTTTAAAGATGTTATATTTAATATATTACATTTTCATGTATCATTATGGAAGAACACAATTTCCTATAAAGCTCCAATTTGCTTAATAATGCATTAAATTATAATAATAAATAATAATATAATTCATAAATAAATATGAAGTTTCAAAAAATAAAGATTTAGTTTACATGTGTGTACTGTGTATATTTATATACACACACACACACACACACACACACACGTATATTTAAGATTTAAAATATATATATATTTATATATAATATAAATTATATGAATATAAATACATGTAAATATTTTCAAAATGTATACTGTATGTGTGTGTATTTATATATACATAATAAATATACACAGTACACACACACATATTATATATTTTTATGTGATTAATCGCGATTAATCATTTGACAGCACTAATATATATATATATATATATATATACACACACACACACACACACAAACAAACAAATATAAAGTCTATTTTGATTACTGTGAATTTGACAGCATTGAACTCAGAAAAAATATGTCTTATACATGGGTTATTAGATATATTTTATAACATACAGATTGGTGAATAAATTGTCACAATTAGTTAAAAACGATGAAAATATTTATGTTTTGTCTCAAAACTTACATTGGACTAATTTCTCTTTAAATTCCAATTCAACATTCACGTGGCCAATTGCCCAATTCAATTCACACTCAACCTTATGAGCTAAAAATGAGCAATTTCTTAAATCTAGAACTCTCCTCAACCCAGCTACAAAACAAGTCCAAAAAAAGAGAGAAATGAAACATGTGAGGTCACAAGCAAGAGGTCAACGATTTCTTTCTCTCTTCCTCAGTACAAGATCGGCCAGTTATACATGATCAGCAAGCACAGCAATGAGCAGAGCGGAGGAGGCGAAGGGGTGGAGGTCGTCCGTAATGAACCCTGCACAGACCCCAAACACGGAGCCGGACAGATCACAGAGAAACGCATCTACCTCAACAGGTGAGGCCGCGCACACACACACAAACACACACACACACACGTGCATGCATAAGCGATCCTGTTTCTTTCACGGTTTACATCACCCACCTGCCAACGTGCCAGCGATCAGCTATTATTGATGACTGCAGCTAACACCTTTATGCATGCAGCACAGCTTCGTCCATCGCTCACTTTCCCTCCAAAAACACCTTCTCTCTTCCTGTCGTGCTTCAGGCAGAATCACACATCAGCATAAGCGTCCGACAGAAGATCACGTACACATTCAGTCAGATATCTTCCCACGCCGTGAGCATGCACACACACTTATTGTAATTGCCTGTTTTCTTGTGTTCCTTACACTCTCGCCCTACAAGGACAAAACACACACACACACACTCAGTCATTAGATGCTGTTGTGAATATGAATTACTGCACCTCTAGCAGTAAAACAAATTTTTCAAGCCATTAATGTGTTAGCAAAGACCAAAAGGGCAGAGCATTAAGTTCCTAATGGTCAAATAAATCTTATCGTGGAGCATGTGAGTCTAATTCAGATGCTGATATTACCGCAGACGAGATCATTATATGCTGTTTACAAGTACAGCACGCTGAACCGCTGCATTGTAATTATGAATAATTTAACTTGTATCGTCAAGATACGAGCGGCAAAGGATCGTAACGTAATGGCAGTTTTTGGGTGGGAATGTACTGTTCTGCGGGAACACGCTGTGGAAATGTCTGTCCCTTCAGGAATGGGAAAGAGGGAGTGTGAGAACGCGCTCGACACAACTGGCTGACCGTGAATGATCTACATCTTCTCTTCTCCACCCCTCTCTTCTCATCCTCTGTTCATCCATCCATCCATCACTCAAGTCCTCAGGCTGTAAATCTCAAGCGCTGTCTGTGCCGCCTTATCTTACAGTGCTGAGTTCATTATCTCTCTCGCTCGGTATGGGCTTTCTTGGACTCTGACTGTGTTTTTGTAAGGGACAGATGGCACCAGACACTTCTGGCAGTGAGACTTGTAGCTATTGTGATGATCGTTTGACCTCTTGACCCAAAACACAAGCACGCATGCACCTCTTAAGTGGCCTAAAAAGTATCTGGACTCTTAACTTTAAATGACTTGGCATTGAAGAAAATAGAAAATATCAAAACTAACAGCTACTGCAAACATATTGTGCAAGACATTCTATCCGAACTAACTTTTTTCAGTTAGTTGATCATTAAACCATACTCTTGTTCATTTAAAAAAAAAAAGTATTTTACACTCAGCAAGGCTTTTTATTCTAATATGCCGATTTTCTGCTCAAGAAACATTTGTGCTATTTATCAGTTGTGCTACTACTTAATTATATTTATATTTTTTTCAAGATTCTGTGATAAATTAAAAGAACAGCATTTATTTTAAATAAAATCTTTTGTAACAAAATAAATGCCTTTTGATTGATTTAATGCGTCCTTGCTAAAAAAAAATTATTACTTTCCTTATTTTCTTTACAAAGAAATTTTACCGACCCCGAATTTTGGAATGATATTCTATATATTTTATCATTTAAAACCTAAAAGTTGATCCTGTCATATAGTAATACATCTTTTTTATTATATAATTATTATAAATATAATAATTATTATATAATATTATTATGGTTAATATTACACTAATGTTAATTCATACAATTAAAAATTTTGAAAAATGACATCGGAAATGAACGTTAATCAAGATAATGTAGAAATTAACATTAATCTAGATGAATAAATTCTGTGAAAGTATTGTTCATTGTTAGTTCATGATACCAATTATACAGAAAAACATTAAAGGTAACAAACATTATGAACATTATTTATAACATAGACATCTTAAAGTATAACACAAGTGTCTGTGAAGAGAAATATAAAACACTCCACGAGGCTTTTGTACAACGAAGACATTTTGTCAACCAGCTTCACCAGAAAGATTGTGCTAGATGATCAATTTTAACAGTTTCACTTTTGATCACAAGTTCAACTGTTGAACTTCATGGTGCATTTCTGCATTATGCAAGCCAAATCAGTACCTAACTAACATACACACATGCTGGATTAAGCCTAGGGCTGTTTTTGTCTTTTGTTTAATATGTCGGTATGGCTAACATCTTCTCATGTTTCCTTTTATGTCTCTGTTCAGCAAACTGCCAACCTGGATAAGAAAGTTTGTCCCCATGGTTTTTTATATCACAGAAACCGCCTGGAACTTCTACCCTTACACTGTAACAGGTCAGTTTAAACATTTTGTTACAATAAATACAAAAGTGTTTGAATATTAATGTATCGTCACATGGCACGCACATCTACGTTGTCTATTCAATGCAACCAGCTGTGACCTAACACCCTATTTCTCTTCTGCATATCTCTCTTTTTCTCCATCCATTGGTGTTTTACTATAGAGTACACGGTAAGTATTCTCATATGTCAGCTCAAACTCATGCAGTTTGCTCTGGGCTCAACATAATCACCTCACTCTCTCCTTCTCGTCTTTCTCTCTCTCTTCTTTGCTCTTTCCAAAAGTGTTCCTTCCTACCGAGGTTCCATGTCAAGATTGAGACGCACTTTGAGAATGACAACGGTTGCAATGAAAATGTGAGTGAGAGATGGCAACACACACACACACACTCACACACTCTCTCACACACAGTGTGTGTTCTCACAGGAGATAATCCTCTTAAAGGAGGACGATTCATCAGCGGCACACGTAGCTTCCGCATCCTTGTAAAGGCCATTGTGCTTGTGTCTGTCTTTGAAGCACTCAGTAGTAACAGTCAGGCAAGATCCAAACACTCCACCTTCCTCCTGTGACATACGACACCAATGCCTTTAAAGCAGGGCCTCAAACTACTGGTGTGGGTCAAAAAGATTTTGTTCAGACATGTGTAGAAAATCTAGGTCTCTTGTATTTAAAGCAACAGAGCAGTTTAAACCAGAACTTACTGTGACATGCCTTCAGTTAATGAATACCACATTTTTATTTTTGGTGAAGTTTGGGTTCACGACTTAGTAACCCCCCCCCCCCCCCCCTCACCATGAGCGCCCCCCGCCGCT